CCCGTCCAGTCTTCCCGCCGTAACGCACCTGGGGAAGAAACAGTGAGACAACTGCGGCAGGTCTCGCAGCCATCGCTCCCAGGATTCTCTCGTAGCTTTGGGCACTTCCTCATCCCAGCCCACTTTCAGCCGGAACAGGTCTTGGAGCAAGATCCTCGCTCTCACGATGCATGGAGTCACCAGTCCCAGCGGGTCGTAGCAGGACGCCGTAGCCGACAACATCCCCCTCTTCGTCTTCGGTTTCTTCGTCAACTTGCTGACGTCTACCTGGAAGCTGAACATGTCGGAGTTAGTGTCCCACAGTACTCCCAGGGCGCGTTCCACTGGAAGAGCGTCTGTCCCCGGCGTGAGCTCTTTCACTTTCTTTGTCCTCTCTTCTCTGGGCACAGATCTCAGGACTCCGACACTGTTACTGCTGATCTTGGTAAGCTTGAAGCCGCCCTCGGCGCAGAGCGCCTTGAGGTCTCCGACCAGTTTGACCGCGGCTCCTTCGCTTCCCACAGACTTCAGGACGTCATCCACATAGAAGTTCCGTCTCACGGTGTCTCTGGCCTCCTCCATCTTCTGACCGAACTCCTCAGCTGTCCTGTGCAGCGCCAGGTTGGCGCAGCTCGGTGAAGACGTAGCACCGAAGAGATGTCTTGTATTGCGATATTCCTTGGGCGTGCAGGTGACATCTCCTCTTGGCCACCACAGGAACCGCAGGTAGTCTCGTTGATGTTCGGGGACCAACACCTGCATGAACATGGCCTCGATGTCCCCCGTGAAGGCGTACGGCTGTTCACGGAAACGGATGAGCACGTCAATCAGTGGGTTAGTCAGGTCAGGTCCCTGCAAGAGAGTGTCATTGAGAGACACGCCGTTGAACTTGCTCGCGCAGTCAAACACAACCCGAACCTTCTCTTTCTGCGGATGCCGAACTCCGAAGTGCGGGATGTACCACTTGCATGCTGGTTTATCGTTGTCTGGGGCCTCTTCCGCATACCCCTTCTCCAGCAGGTCTGCCATCACAGCCTTGTACTCTTCAGCGTACTTCGGGTCCTTCTCAAAGGCCCTCTTCAGAAGATTGAGCCTCTTGAGAGCAACTTGACGGTTGTTGTCAAGAAGCGGCTTGCTCTCCCTGAAGGGCAGCTTGATCTCGTATCTCCCTTCTCTTCGTCTGCAGCCTGTCTCCATCTGTGTGCACCATCTTACATCTTCAACCGACAGACCTCTTCTTGTGTCGGCTCGGTCCTCGAACAGCTCTTCTGGGCCCAGTGCGTCCACGATCTTGATGCGGTTGATGCTGACTGACTTGGTGAACTTCCCGACACCACTCAGCACCCAACCATACCTCGTTCTCACAGCATAGGGACCATCATCTCGGCTCGGACACACTTCCACAGGCTCCATCACACTGGCCGCGTTACCTCCTATCAGGAGGCCAATCTCTTGGTCACCTGATAGTGTCTCCAGAAATACTCCAGCATCTTGCAGGTATTTCCATTTACTCACATCTTCTTCGGATGGAATGTCTTCAGACGTCACAGGGATGTGGTCCAGGACATACAGAGGCGGCAGCTCCATGCAGTTGTCCCCATCGAGGCTTCTGATGACCAGACCAGGAACGAGACAGCTGTCCATCACCGCCTCTCCCCTGATCGTGCACACCCTCAGTGATGAGTTGTTTTGCGGCGTCACCTTCATCTTCTGCAACAGGTGCTTTGAGATGAACGAGTGTGTGCTACCGCTGTCCAGAAAGGCGTTAGTTACCACAGTCTCCTTGTCTAGCCCCACCATCACCTTCAGCACCTGGAGCTTGGCCCCTCCCGCCCCGCTGGGCGCCAGATGGCCTGTTGTAGCACTTGGTGTTGGACTTATCCTATCTTCATGGAGCACAGTTGGGTGGCTTCTGTTGCACCGCTCACAGGTCCTCCTTTCCTTACAGAACCTGGAGCGGTGGCCATGCTGAAGACAGGCGAAGCAGAGGCCCTTCTCTTTCACGAACTTGCTCCTCTCCTCGTGCGTCCTGGACTCGAACTTCTTGCAGTTTTCGATCTGGTGTTTTCCCTGGCAAAAGAGACATGATGGGTGTGCATTCTCCATGGGCTGGACACTTCCTGCTAGAGTTCTTCCAGCGATTACCCTTCCTGAGGGCTGCACCTTCAGCTTTGTGTCATCTTTCTTGGTTCTTGTTCCTGGGCACAGCACATGTCGTCCGTACGAGGGGTTCGTTGCAATCCTTGCTTCAGTCTCGATGAATTGGACAAGATCACTGAAGTTCGCTGGACGTCTCCCTTCCTGTTCGATGGCATCAGCTTTCCGGCGCCACCTCTCAGTCAGGTGATACGGGAGCTTCTCCAGCAGTCTTCGGATGGTCTTCGAGTCAACAGACCCCACACCGTGTGGCAGGTTCTCGAGCGCGTTCATGCAGCCCCTGAGGAAGATGCCAAAGTCATCCAGTCCGTCTCCATCATCCGCTCTAAGGGTGGGTAGGGCTAGCATCTCGTCCACCAGACTAGCTACGGTCTGAGCCTGACAGTCGTACCTGCGGTGGAGCAACATGACAGCTTGGGCATAGCCCTGCTCTTCAGGCAGATGAACGCAGGTCTGAACGAGGTCGTGTGGCTTTCCCTTGGTGAACTTAAGCAGGTACAGGAGCCTCTCAGCATCACAGTCCACATTTCTTGCTATGTTGGACTCGAAGGTCCTGAGGAAGGGCTTGAACTTCGAAGTGTCACCCCTGAAAGTGGTCAGGTCAAGTGATGGCAGGTGGAGACGCCTTACCATCTGCAGGTCAGTGCTGTGTTGAGCCGGAGCCCCGCCAGCTACTTGCTGCTGTGTTGGCTCGTCTTGCAGAACGGATTCTGGTGTCACTTCCTGTGGAGATGCCGCTGGAGATGTAGCATCTTGCTGAGCTGCGGCATCTTGCAGAGCTCTTGTCACCGCAGCTTCCTGTGGCTGGACTGTGTCGGCGGCAGCAGCCCCTTGCAACCACATACTTGCAGCTCTTGTCGCATGCTCCACCTTCAGCATCTCCTCCAGGACCTTCTCCTTGGCTTCACTCTCGTCTATCTCCGCCTGGATCTCCAGCTCTTCTCTCTTCTTTCTCAATGCAGCTTCTTCTTCTTCAAGCTGGTGCCTCTTCTTCAGGGCTTCCTTCTTGGCAGACAGCCCAGCCAGCCTCGCTCTCTCCAAAGCCCTGGCAGAGACGATGCTGGCCGATGTTCGGACACTGGAGGCAGGCTTGGAACTTGCAGCACTTCCACCTCCAGATCTTGATGATCCCGACTTCACACTCTTCCCATCATCGGCTTTCTTCGGCTCACACTCTTCATGCAGCTTATCGGTCTCTTCCTTGGCCTGCTTCCTAGCTCCCTGACTCTGGAACTCTTCTTCCTTCAAGAGCTCTCTCAACCTCTCCAACAAGACTGGCTTTCTTCCCCGCACATCTTCTCCACGCCTAGTCAACTCCCCGACCAGCTCCTCCTTTGTCAACTTGTCAAGGTCCATGGTTATCGTTGACACACACGGTCAAGCAAGGTCAAGCGAGGTCAACGTCAAGTGAGGGGGTCATGTGGGTCAGGTTGGGCAGGTCAGAAGGATAGGGTTGCTGGCACGATAAGTTATGAATGAACACTTCAACCTTAAGCTAAACACATGTCAAACTAGCACCGAGAATACCTACACGAATGTCAGCCTCATATGGTTCAGACACACCACATCATTGCACCTGTTCCATGCATGCCTCAAAAGTCTTAACAAACAGAAAAGATCACTGGTCAGACCTCTTTCCCTGCCATCAGGAGCAGCAGCACCCACCATCAGTAGCAGTGGCGTCCACCCAGTAGGTGCCAGCCAGCAGACGCGAACCTCCGCCACCGCAGGGACATTAGGCTGCTGGAACCTCCGTCCTGGATCCAGTCCCCACGGCGGCAGGCAATCGCGTCTGCAGCGGTCATGCGTTGGCCAGTAGCGACGGAATCAGCAAGCAGACATGCTGATGCTGATGCTGACGATGATGAAGACGATCGTTGAAACTATTGTCGCCTGAGCCGTAGATTGACGAGCGTTGTTACGCGCAGAACACCGTAGCCAGAGCGTTGCTTGTATTCGTCACGATGCGGTCGACTAGCGAATACTGATGCGTAGGTGCAGCATATGAAGCAGCGTGGCAACGCAAACTGGCACTAGCGCAGGTAGGCACGGTAAACAACGATGCATCTAGCGGTTTCTGCAAAGGCAAAAACATTGAATAAACGATACGGAAAAATAGAACAAATTCAAGAGCGCGATAATCTAGAAGCAATAAAGCAATAAATCATAATGTTCAATTCTTACCAACGATTTCGTCCACTCAGGCGCCATGCCTCCATTCTCGACGGAGTACACCATGAAAAGGACTGAGTATGGCGGCTGACTTAGAGCCCGCCAGTCACGGGAACCCGCAAGTACTGCAGACACGCGGACATAAACATTAACACATGAGCATGCCATACTCATCCGTAAAACAAATAACATGCGGAATAACAGAAAAATATCCCCGTATAAACTCATCCCGCGAAACACAACACAAAAAGATAACACATATATCGTACGCAACGAACAAGTACCGCCCGCGACAGAGATGGGCAAAAGTATCGATCAGCTGTTCGCGCCGTCTGAGACACGGCCAATAAAGCTACCGCGCGAAGCCAGCGTGGGGGGACGGGAACGGCTCAGGAAGGGGCAGGCTGCTCCATCTCGCGGCTGTCTGGGAAACTCCACCGCACCGCGCAGACCGTAAGGCGCAGGTGTCGCTGCAGACGCATGACTCCTCCGTCACGCGCACACAGGCGCGCGGCTCACAGGCGCACTAACACAGGCTAAAAATAATTATTTGCCGTTGCGTCTAATGCATCATGACCGGACGCACTGATGATGTCCTTGCATCAACTAGAAACTTCAGGAGGCTGGCCACATAACACCGGACCCACGTGCTTCGGGACATCCAGTAACAACTCCGTCTCTCCTCCCCACAGGGCTACACAGACGAGCCCATCTCCAAGATCCTGTGCAACATCTCGGAGGGCGAGGAGCAGGACCTCGACCGGTGGGAGGCGATCGTCACCAAAAACGAGGACGCCGATCCGAGTGAGGAGGGCAAGGACAACCTGCCGCTCAACGTCATTAACAACTACTTCTCACTCGGCGTCGACGCCCACATCGCGCTCGAGTTCCACGAAGCCAGAGGTGAGTGTTCGGGGCCTTGATGGCTGGACGGTGGACAGTGGATACTTCAGTCAGGCAATGGTCGGAAATATTATCAGTTCAACGATGTTGTTGCTCATGTTGTGTCCTGCATACCAACTGTATTTTCTGCTTTAGACATGTTACAATCAATTACTTAGATGATGTATGTAAGTGTTTGTCTCCCACCTCTTCCACAACGTCAAAGGAAATATTGTACTCTTGTAGGCATCCCTCTATGAGTTATGGCTGCATTCATAGATCACTGACCTTTGACAATGCTCTAACAGAAGTGGGAGCCGTAGTAAACCTGACATGTGTCGCAGCGTGATCAATACACGGACGTGGAACAAAATCCATAGCGCCGGCGCTATTCAGTGAGCCCTTCCTTCACCCGGACGTTCAGAGTTATATCACGGATCGATCCTTACCCCTCATCCCTACTGTCCGTGCTGAGGGCAGACTGCGAGTTCCGATGTGCGCGTCTCACGGATAGTTACTCGTCCGATCCGAGCCCGTCTCACTGCTGGACGTGAGCCGGGCTGGCAGGAAACGGTCGTTTGGGCCGGTACAACCCTAGTCGGCTTTACTGGTCGCCCATCGCCGCATGGCCGACACGAAATTGGACACGTGGCACACGTCACACCGCGGGGAGGGGAGTGAATCGGTCTGCGCATTTGGGTGTGCCAAAGTTAGAGTTGGAAGTTATCGCTGTCTGGTGTTCCGGATGATCGGACAACGAACGGCGTGGGACGCGGCTCGCACTGAATGGTGGGAAGGTACCTACAGCGCAGACCAGTTACCGAGAATGTGAAACTACATACCGGTGTGCCGGCCGGCCGGCCAACTTCGCCGCTGCCTCCGGCGGCGCTGCGCTATTTCGGAGTATTTTTAGAGCTGCGCGGCGGGGCTGGTGCCGAGTCGGTGATCACAGGGTGGCCCTGCCACGACAGCACCGGGCGAAAATATCAGCCACCTCACGGAATGGCACGAGCCCGGCCGGCAGCCGCACATTGCGAAGCGTAGGGAATTCCGAGAAAAAGGTTGGCTGTCATCTCGTGAAGGGGCCCATTTAGCAGTGCAGGAGGGTATGCTGGTTGTTTTGGTAATTTCCAGCACCTAATCTTGGCCGTGCTATATTCATTGTTTTGTTCATTGGGTTCCCGCTATCATTTTCTGATGAGCAACCATAACCATTTATCACCCATTGACCTCTCGCTCCACAGAGGCGCGGCCGGACAAGTTCAGCTCTCGGCTACGGAACAAGATGTTCTACGGCCAGGCGGGCGGCAAGGACCTGCTGCAGCGCCGGTGGAAGGACCTGTCGGAGCACGTGACGATCGTCTGCGACGACACGGACATCACCCACAAGCTGCGCGAGCACAAGGTGCACGCCATCCTGTTCCTCAACATACCCAGGTGGGTGCCGTGTGTTCTGGCTGCTGTTCCGGGGCGTCAGCTCGGCTAGTAAAACAGCCGTGTCACGTGTGAGATGGGGGCTTATCCCGCGCGGACTGAGAGACTGCCAAAGGTTTGATGGAATACATAAATCGATGGCATACTGATAGAGCTCTGAGATAAGCGGATTTTGCAATAGCATGGCATTATACCAACACCTAGAGATTAAGACTGTTTCCAAGGTTCAGAGTAGAGGAACGCAACATTGTAAATGAGCGACTGTTCAACTGATTGATACCTACAGCTTGGTTCTCAGTTTGGCTGTTGAATTGATTCTTACATTGGGTGTTTCATCAACTAGCTTGAAGCTCTGATCAAAGTGTTGATGGGAACGCCGTTCTGCTCATAAGTTCTTCGCTAGTTTCTGTAATGAGAAAGAGGTCACGTTAGGGTTAGCGATTTCCCACGTCTTAAGCCTGCGGTGTTGAAGTCTGGCACGCTCACTATCTCGCCTCTATACTTTGTCCCGACTAAAATAGTGCAAGAGAATGAAACTTCCTGCGGGCTGTTCTTTTTACATTGCATTTCTTTTACATTGTTTTGTAAGTGTTGGCTCGGTGTGGTTGTTCTGTATTTAGCCGGGACATTACACCTGTGGTACCTACATTACTTTTACTTGGGGCGCGAAATTGTGGTAATTTCGTTACATTTAGCTGCATCAGCTCCAGTTTAAATGTGCTACCGTGAGAAACGGTGAACCTGCTTCCTCCTTGACCAGAAAGTCAAGTTGTCTGCCAGCGCGGCGCTCTTTTTCTGCATGCACCAGTGGACCAATGTTCCTACTGATACCATCCATTTGTTGGCAGCAGAGCAGATGAATCCCCTATCGAAAGGTCATCGCCGTGAATGTTTTCCAATGGGACGTCGGCCGGGTGTTGTTACCCAATAGAGAGCAGCAGTCGGTCTGGCACATTGTCACAGCATAGGTCACGAATCTGCTCTGCTTTTCGGGAGGCAACTGACTAATAGATCGGAAGAAATGTGGATGTTCTTGCTGATGAAGCGCTTTTGAGGGGTATTTGGAATTATCATCAAATAAATACACGTTGACGACTAAAGGGAGTAAAAATGCAATCGTACATAGAATTAGCTTCATTCTTATTATTTCCATATACCTACGTGAGATACACATTTCCTCGAATGAATATCTGTAAGTGGAAGTCAAAAAGATGGTCTTGTTCTTCGTCACTGTGTCAATACGGCGGTGTGCCGCCTCTCGTGTTGTTCACTTAAATCCTCCTCGCACCACGGGAATGATGTTGTAAGCCACCTCGTATACGCACCACGTAGAACACCCTGGCGTGTTTCAGTAGAAGTTTGCTTAAATGTAAATCCTTTATTACGGCGATGACTACAACAGTCCGTCGCCTCATGACCCCATGGAACAGCGGCAGCGCGGCACGTCATGTACCCTGATTGGGCGGCCCTCGTCAGAAGTCCCAGCTCAGCGGACTGAACCCTGTCACCTCACCTCCCATCGACCCCGTGACCCCCGACTCGGGCGGCGGGCCCGCGGCCCTCCCGAGAACGGCCGGGGCACGTCTGTACCGTTCCCGGGAACGGCCGGCGGCGAACACCGGCCGGCTTGTCCCATTACAGGCGGCAGCGACTGTGTGACGGAGGTGTGGTGAACCGGGCCAGTGCCGCCCGGGCGCGGCTGTACCCCATAGGGGGAGGGAGTCGGTCGGTCTCGACGTGTCAGGAGGGGTGAACATTGGCGACGGTGTGCTTAGGGTCAATATTCTGTCGAAACTGAGTAATCGGATTAGAATTATAAAACAGGCTGTGTAGACGAGTGTGTAATCTATATTTTGACAAACTGGAGGAACCAGGGACTAATCACTGGACGGTTCTTAGCCCGGCTGAACATCCAAAATTGGCGGGATTTGCCCCATGACGAATGTTCCAGTGGAAATTGACCCTGTCCGCTGGGATCCGATATTCTCAGAATCAGACTGTTTTAATCCGCTGCCCTTCAGCGTCTGATTGGATGGTACCGGTGTACGATTTTCTGAGATTCTTTTCGAGCTCGAATATATTTGAAAGTCTTCCGACCTGGCGTTTAGTCGCTGGATCATGCTGGTCATTAGATAAGGGACAGCTGAACGAAACAGTGTCTGGATGCATTTCAAAAGGTTGCTAACTTTGGAGTTCGGACTGTTCGGAGTGATATTCATTGATGTAGAGTTCATCTTTCTCCACGTCTTTCGTAACGCTTTTATTTTAGGTCGTCTCTACCGCTGTAAGATGATGCAGGTATTCCCGTGATACTGTTCGTGCCACGCGATCAGAGGACATGCAACGTGTATTTTGTTTTCACATACTGTTAGATTTTTCTGAAATATCTCCATAGTGACGGGTGACAAACCACACCGTGTGTAAACGTGGTCTTCCTGTCCGTGACCTAGTACTTACCCACGACATTTGGTGACCTCCGGTGACCTTTTCACAGCTACGGCGGTGGCACTCACCCGTGGGCCGGACGGGACCAGTCGACTTCCGATGGCCTGATGGAGGTCATCGGTCTCACCACCTACCAGCTGGTGAGTGACGCGGAAATACACAAACACACGCGCGCTGTAACGTCTCGCAATGTTTCGCAATGGCTCGCAATGTCTCAGAATGGCTCCGTAACCTTCCAACCTCGCTAGTCTTGTCTCGTCTCGTCCCGTCCTTGATGCCACTGGCTCGATGATACAGGTGATATCGTCAAAATCTGTCTCGAAGTCTTAACAGAACTACGTCTTTCCATGCCACACGGGTCACCTTTTCTTCACCGTAGAGGACTTGTCAAAGGGCGTTGATGTAACACAGCGTTATTTTTATACTAATATTGCGAATATTCTCGAAAAAGAGATTCTTTGTATTCTGGTCCACAGCCACATTTTACTCCTATCTTTATGCAAATAATCTTTCTATTCTCGATTTATAATGCCGCCTTCCTGAAAGCTCAGTAAGTCAGTGATATTTAGTCGTCATTAAGAGCTCAGAAATCTCCATCACCATTTGCATTATTCCCTGGCCTCATTTTAGCGTTGCGCTCAACGGGCTGGGCTGAACTTCGTCAGCCGCTCTCGGTCTAGCTGGGAGTATTTGCCGACCTCTGTATGTGGCCTGGGGGACGTCGGCGGCCGCCACTTGTTTACTGAAGATTAATGATGCCAAAAGTCGGCCCGCCCAGCCATACAAACTTGGTCAAACGCCGGGCGCAAAGACGTTTCCGCCGGGAGGGGAGAGCCGAAAACTCGTGCTCTGACTGCTAAGTAGACGCCGCGGAGCTGGCAAATGAAAACCGGATGTCATTTCGGATATTCGCCCCCGGCCGTGGAGGAAGCTCTCGAACAAATGGGAGGTCGTTCTGTGGAGAATGAGACCGAGCGAGTGGTTCCGCTCGGCCCGATTGTTGGTGTTCGCACCCGGTCGGGTGAGAAAGGCAATGTGACTACAAATGAGTGTGCCACAATAACGTATTTTTAGTATAATACCGCAATAACGCATGAGGGTAGCACAATAGTTACTGTTAGCATAAGGTAACTATAAATATAATTCTATGTTTTTTATTATATTATATATTTCCTTTTAGTGTATACTTTTAGCTTGTTTTCTTTTTAGTGTTGCTTATAGTAGACACCTACCTATGTTATGCCGTGCTTTTAACTACAGTGTTGTGAATCGTTTGTGTTTTCACCTCATCTTGTTTATGATTTTATGTACTGTTTTGACTGCACCTGTTAAAAGGGCGTTTGCCTGTGGGTGCTTGTAGTAAATACAAATACAAATGTATTCTATTTTAAATACTTTACATAAAGATTCACAAGGCAGCTATATCCGCATGTCCCGGTTGATCTCGTCTACCCTAAATCACCGTGGAGCGAAAGCATGAACACATGGAAGATGGATCTGACTGTGCCGGAAATGACGGCTAATATATTTTCGCCCACAGCGATTTCATGATGAAATATTCCTGTCCTCAGACCAGGCATGCTGTCAGGCCTAGCCTCGTGTGTAAAATATAGAATGCGTTTTATATTAGGACGCAGAGAGGGTGAATTATCAAAAAGACGCTGATAGATGTATTTTCTGATTTATTATGTGCTATAAATATAACATCAAATTTCGCAGGAAATGTGAAGTGCACTCGTTAAATGGCTATGCACCTACTTTTTCAACATGTTTTTTGCGTACTTGATTGAATTTTACAGTTTTAGTAGTTTGTTTTGTTCTATTTTTACCTCGTTTCCTTTATAGCTACTTCCTAAGAATGAAGGAGCCGCAGATGCGGACTCTTTTCGTTTTTTTTTTCCTTCTGCTTTTCAAGATATGCGTATTTTTATAGTTGTACATAGTTATCATTCGCGGTATCCATCACATGGTTGAATTCAGCGGTATCCGCCACAGACCCCTCGGGCGCCGCGGACGGGCGGGCGGATGGCGACGGACGGGGTGTGGGTGGTCCTGACGCCCCGTCGCCTCGGCCATCAGCCGCCGGATAGGGACACCGTAAAGGCGTCATCACACGGATCATCCGGCGCCGATCTACGGCCGCGTTCAGACCGGTCCACAGCGGCCAGATGAGCCGTGAATGTCGGCCGGACGCCGGACGACGGGGCGGGCGCGATTGAAATCGCCGGCGCTGAAAGGCGGGCTGCATCGCCAGAGAATGGCCGCTTTTATGGAGTCGTAGGGACGGTGGAGACAGTTTTAGTGTGTGTACTGGAGGAGAGAGCGAGTGCTTTGGTTGTGATGTTTGCTTGAGTTTCACCACAATGGTTTGAATAGCTGATGGAATGAGAGATAGCTGGTCAAGCTTGGAAATCTCGAGCTTTATTGGCCCTTGTTGTTAACTTTTGTAACAAAAGTTGAGGGAACTGAAAACAATCGCTCAACTTGCTTCTTGGCTCTCTTTGACTGGCATGACTCACCTTACTAAAAATACCTACCTATTTCGAACTTATAACGTTGATGCGCGAGCGCCACCTTGATGACTTGCGTAATAACCGCTAAACCCAGAGGTTGGTTGTATCGAATCTGCTAATGCGCATAAGCAGAGTGAATGAGATCCGATAGTTCTTCTGCTACTTTGAATCCCGAAGTGGCAAGTGCCTTTTACTCCCATGGCGTTGTTCCGCATTAGTGTGAAATGCCTCATCAGAAACTCACCTCGATGGCGAAAGCCTTTTAAAGCGTTTGCTATCTTCTGACCTTTTCAACTTCGAGCGTTTAGTCATTGCCCCAATTATGAGGCACGGAACGAGTGCATTGTTAAATTTGAGCCCCATTTCGTCTGCAAACTTTTGCCGTTATTTTTGGTTTGTCAAATTGGTTTCCATCGAGGGGAATTAGGGAGGGGATTTAGTTTCATCATTTAACTACGAGGCAGTCGATCTAAAAATTTCTTTGTTCATCTGTGGGTCAATTAAAGAGGGTAGTTTGTGTGTCCTGAAATATCTTAATTGGCAGGACAATCTTCATAATTTGTGTAGGTTAATGAGAAGCTAAGTTTACACTTATTGCCAAATCCTTTTGCTTGAACCTGAGTTTGAAAACTAGGCATTGCTATAGGTATCTTTGCTTATTATGACGTCGACCTTGCCAAGTGTAACATCTCATTCGTCTGGGCCCGGCTAGTGGCTACCCAGTATGAAGAATGTCAGATCAATGATTAAGGTAATTGTTAGTATGTTGTTTCACTCTCTTTTGTTTACATAACCCCTGCTGTGTTTTATACTTTTAGTAGTTTTAAGTATACCCTGGCTTTTAAACGTGTTTATGACGTGAGAACAGGAAAGCCATGTTTTATGGAGTTTTCAATAAAACTGACTATTACTTGACTATGACATAATGCTTATATTGCTTATGTCCTTTAGAATTTGCATGCGAATGCACAGCACACACTAGTGTGAAAATGTCGAGGGATATTTTTGCATTAGGTAAGTTCAGCTTGTCTGCATTTATTCTTCGCCGAAATTAGCCCATGCGGAGCAAAAGTTGTGTGTTATACCTCTCGTAAAGTATATTCTTTGGTGGTGTAACTATTGCATAAAGTTTATCTTTGATTGAATGAAATTGAAGTTGTTGTTATAATTACTTCAAAGTGGGAGCCCTGAAACAGGATTTGCCGCGTCATCCTATTCTCATACCTAGCAGACGTAACTTCGCATTATCGACATAGTTTACCGCTCTCCGAGTTTTACACAAGTATTCTTGATGTGAAATAGTAGCAAAGTCCAAAATAGACTCCACTGTCTGGCAAGAGAACGGTCAGGAATATCAGCTATCTTGGTTCATCAGCTTCGCTTGCTGAAAAAAAAAGTTGTCTCGCCCATGGAAATGGTGGCATATGTATGTATGTATGTATGTATGTATATTTGCTAAAATCCATCCATAAGACATGGTTTTTCAGGAGTTGCGTCATACAGGTATACGGTTAAAACAAATAAAAGCAACACAGGGGTGATCGTGAAAGTAGCGCTTACACAGCCAGGTTAAAAAGCATCACAGTCTCATCCGGCAGCAGCACATCACATCACGCGGCGAAGCGACGCCCGGAAGGAGGACAGTGTCTGCTGTCCAGTGACAGTCGGGGACAGCTGGTTCCAGGAGGCAGCTGCACGGTACCGGAACCCCCTCTGAGTGGCCGACAGTCGGCATCTGGGCAGCTCGAGATCGCCGGCCTCAGATGAGCGCGTTGTCCGGCTGGACACAGTGGATCTCTGGACGAACATAGTGCGGATGGCGGGCGGACAAAGCTGCTGGTGAAGAGCTTTGTACACTTTCAGGAGGTCCCTCTCCCGCACCAGCTGCTCCACCTGCTTCCAGCCCAGGGATACCACAGCCGGACCGACCCTCTCCCGACACCGCACGCCTGTCACGATGCGAGCGCTGAACTTTATAAGTTTTTGGATGCGAGCAAGTTGTGTTTTTATCGCTCCGCCCCAGACCGAGATGCAATACAAAATGTGGGGAAAGACGTGCGTTTCAATGATAAGTTTCATGATTTCGCTATTAAAGTGGTGACGGAAACGGTAAAGTGAAATCAGTAGGGCGTTGCACCTTTTGACGATTAGTCCAATGTGAATTTCCCAGGACATACATGGGTCTATGGTCACACCAAGCAGCCTGATGCATGGCGAGGGCTTTGTGACCACGCCCTCTATGGTGATATGAAAGTTGTTTGTGTTTTTGATGGCTTGCCGAGTGCCGATGATGCAAAAGTCTGTTTTTGCAGGGTTCATTTTTAGCGAATTTGATCGGAACCAGAGCTGCAGCGAATCCAAAGAGTTTTCTATGCGCACTTTGAGTTGAGCTAAGTTTTGAGGATCGGGCAGTGAGTGATCGAGCAGCTGGGTGTCGTCAGCGTACGCAATCACTCGGCAGCCCGGCAAGTGACAATGCAAGTCATTTGTGAACAGGCTGAAGAGGATCGGTCCGGCTATCGAGCCCTGAGGGACGCCGAAGCTGACCGGCAATGTCGCCGATCCACCCTTCACCAGCTGCCCCCGGCCGCTCAGGTAGCTCTGGAACCATCCAGGATCGATTCCGTACCATCCTAGCTTTGATAGGAGGACGCCGTGGTCGACGCTGTCGAAGGCCTTACTGAGGTCAGCGGCCGTAATCGATGATATTTCACCCCTCTCGGAGTTACGGTTGATCCAATCGACAGCGTCGAGCACGGCGTCCTCTGTACAGTGGCACGACCTGTAGGCATATTGGCTGTGATACAGAATGTTGTTATCAGTTAGGTACCGAGACAGTTGATTGCAGACCATTTTCTCTGTAAGTTTTGCCAGATGAGACAAAAGTGAAATGGGACGATAGTTCGAGGCCTGATCTATATCGCCCTTCCCCTTATATATAGGCACAATCTCGGCGATTTTCCACGCGTCCGGGAACGAGCATTTTATCATTGATGTGTTGACAATTTTCAACAAGTGCGGGCCAATCACAGGAAAGCAGCGTTTCACGGCACTAAGGGGCACGCGATCCAGACCGACAGCCCCGGACGAGTTCATCTCTCTAACCGCTCTGCCCAGCTCGGGCAGAGTGGCCGGCGCGAGACGGAAGGCCGATGACACAACGATGGGCGGGCGAGGTGGCCGCCCAGCCGCGACATCGTCCCTCAGGTCGTCCGCGATCTTCGACCCCACTGACGAGAAGAAGTCGTTGAAGCTGTCAGCCCTGGCCTGCAGTTCGCCCTGACTGGAGTCTGAGGTGGGCGCTGCCGAGTCAGAGGTCAGGAAAAACCGCTTCAGGCTGCTCCAGAACTGGCGGCGATCGGAGGTCACGAGCTGGCGGCCGAGAAACTCTCGACGGGCTCGCGCCAGCCGACCCTTGACCGAGTTACGCCGACGACAGAAATCGGCTCGTGACTCGGGGGTGCGCAGGTCAAGCCAGGCTCGATACGCCGCGTCCCGCTCCGCCATCGCCTCACGGAGGTCAGGATCGTCCGTGATCCATGGGCAGCCAGCGCGTCGGTAGCGCCTCGTGCGGGCTGGGCAGTGCCGGTCGATGACCTCCCACCATGTCGCCGTGAACTTCTCCACCATCGTGTTGATGTCGCCCTCCGTGTTCAGAAACGTCCAGTCTTGGAGCAGAAGATCAAGGCAGATGGCGTCCCAGTCTGCGTGTCTCCAGCTCCGTGTCGTTCGCTCCACCGGCAGCTTCCTAAGCCTGCCGACAGGGGCGCTTATTGCGATCGGGAGATGATCGCTGATGTCGGTTTCTATCACCTCGACTCTGGCTGGCGGGATCTTGATGTTGGTGACGATGTGGTCCAGAGCGGCAGGCGTGGGTAGTGGGTGGGTTGGCCGGTCAATCAGCTGTGTCATGTTGAGCTCCGCCAGTGCAGCCTGGTAGCGTCTGACATCAGCCGACTGAGTGTTCAGGACATTTATGTTAATGTCACCGAGCAGAAACACAGGCCTATTCCTGAGCAGAACTTCTCGGAGCTGCTCCTGGAGCTCCTCCACCGCCTGGCAGACCGAGCCGTCGGGTGGGCGATAAATAACCCCGACGATGGCCGGCCTCCCTCCGCGCCACGTGACGGACAGCCACAGCGTCTCCAAGAGGCGGGTCTCGGGCGTCTTCAGCACCTGGCACTGGATGCTGTTCCGGTGCAGGATCGCCACTCCCCCACCTCGTACTCGCTGGCCGTTGGTAGAGGAGGCTCGGTCGCGTCTGACCATGGCGTAACCAGGAAAAACCACGAACCGTGATAACGTTACTGGAGTCAACCACGTCTCCGTCACGCACAGCAGGTCGAAACGCTCCTTCTCTAGTAGGCTGTTGATGAGATCGACTTTCGGCACCAACGACTGAGCGTTGACGTGCCCAATCCTTACGCCACGAGATGAGTTCACGCTGGAGCGCTCTGTGTCGAGTGCCTCCGACTGGTGGAGCGAGGCGGCGCCACCGTCGCAGCAGGTCACCCCATGAGCGCCGCGGGTCTGTCGCAGTGTCAGACGCGGGATCTCGAGCAGGTGTCGGCTGCGGGGCTGAGTTTCGCCGACGGTAGTCCATCGTCGTCCGCAGATGACCGGGATCAGCGCCGGAGCGTCAGTCTGGTTGGCCTCGCGGCGCTGACGACGACGACCCCCCGCTCTCCCGAGACACCTCAGCCGGAGCACGTCATCTGTTGTCAGTCGAAGTTTGTCCGTGCCTTCAGAGATGGCGCCACCATCGCCCCAGCCTGCTCGGACTCCCGTGGCAGCCAGCTGGCGGAACACGGTTCGCATATCCATACGAGAGACTCACATATGATGCAATATTGATAACACATTAGTCAATGCGTACCATAAGCCAGGGCCAGTCGAGTGCGATTTAACCGACTGATCACTGATACCAAAACAAACGAATCGCGGCTTAGACGTTAGCGTACCGTACCCGTCACCTAGATTTTTGCCTCATCATAACCTTTCGACTCAGCTATTGACCTTTTCACTGACCAATGACCAATATGAGAGAAATGTTTCTCTCGGTCTGTGTGGAGCCCGAGTGGCGAGCTCGGCTTCATTAAATCATAGCACCAGTCTGCCGAAGGGGAAGCCATCATCTTTTCATTTCTGTTGCCAATTCCACGCCGCCGGTCGGCGTCGCTCTGCGCGCGAGCGCGACCCCCTCGCCGCCAACTTCACTGCTGCCGATGAAAGACTGATGAAGTCATGACCTCAGCGTGCCGCGTTTAGAGCTTCGACTCGGGCGACCGACTGGCGCTCAAATCCGGCTGGGGAGCTGTGTGCCCGGTCCGGGGGAGGGGGTAGGGAGCCGTGTGGCCGGTCCGGGGGAGGGGATATAGGGAGCCGTGTGGCCGGTCCGGGGGAGGGGGTAGGGAGCCGTGTGGCCGGTCCGGGGGAGGGGGAGGGAGCCGTGTGCCCGGTCCGGGGGAGGGGGTAGGGAGCCCGCGCCGTGACCTGTCCCACCAGCCGCTGGCTCGGCAGCCGTCAGCCGGAGTTATGGTGCTCCAGCAGCACACCCCAGTGACTATCTGTCCTCCCAGAGTCGCGCCGCCGGGTCCGGCTACTGCAGAAATGTGACCCCATAAGGTCGAGGGCGTTGAGTTGGCGACGTATTGTGACATATTACGACCTCTGGGTAAGAGGAATATTCACAGCAGCTTATGCTTAGTGACGTTTAATGCTGAGTTTTACGACTTGATGATATATCCCCTAGGGCAGCTTAAACATTTTATGAGTCATCTCTCGCCGTATAATTCTGTTAGGATCTGGTGTCGATCTCGATGGGCCTCGGTCCGTAGGTACCTGACGGCCGGGCCACGTCACCTCTGACCGGCGGCGTACCGTGACCTCATGACTCCGTCATCACGGACCGGTCACGGGGTCACGGTTCGGCGGTCCGTTCCGACCAGATGGTCCAAATGGGCTCTGCCGGCCGTCGGCAGCCGTGTCTGTGCGCCAGCCGCCGTCTAGACGGTCCCGCCTGGCTGCAGATCCCACCTGGTGGCCGCAGCCTGCTGCCCGTGCAGTGGTGTTCTTTTAGGTTATTTTACTGTGGATGTGTTAATTTCCTCCGTTATTGCAGTGCGCCTCACTTCCGATCCAATGGCACTGTCCGGTGGATTTTTATTTATCAGCATCTCGCATCTCCAAGTCCACACTTTGATTTCAGTACAGGCAAGAGTTGTGAAAGGCGTGTTTGATTTCATATATGTGCTAAGATACTGGCACTTTCTACTATTGGTTTACGTCACAAAATAAGAGTGATTTTCAGGTTTCTAGTTTTAGGTGTAAGTCACCCTATGTCTTTTATTTATATGTAAAGAGCATAAGCGTTGCCAGGGATGAAGAAGCCTATCCCTTTTCTATAGTTGATTGCTGGTCTACTAATAATGTATTCATTACTTTCAAAGAAATAAATTTTGTCTTGGCCTTTCCAAATAACCAGTCTCTCTTGTGGAACTTCCAACACACAATATTCTTATCTTGTGCGCTACCACACGCTCCGAAGTGTTTACGCGGAACTTGTGCGCGCAAAGTTTGAGCCGCTGGTCGCAGCGCGGAAAGTGGTTTTCGATTAACTTCCGCCCCCATCAGGGTCGCTGTGGCATCTCTGGGAGCTCAGCGGAGTTGAGCTTTGATCTTGATAGCCGGCCGGTGCCGTGTGTCGTCCTCTGGGGAAGGGCGGGCGGGGGAGGGGAGCAGAGCGATCTCCCTATGGCGCCCGGGGCGGGTGTTTACCTGCTAGTCGGTGTGGCACGCCGCTGCACCCTCTCAGTGGTGTTTACATCGCGGGCGGCGGTGCGGCACGGCTGGGATGAGCCCAGCGCCTCCGGTACGGGACGGAACGGGACGGAACGGGGTGAGACGGGACGGGACGGGGCGGGACGGGACGGGACGGGACAGATGGGACGGGACGGGACGGGACGGGAAGGTCGTGACGCTCCCGGAATCAGTTCACGGCTGGCCGCCGACCGAGCCGGCCGTGGCTGCGCCCTCGGTCACGTACCTCACACAGAGTCTCAGCGAACGTGAGCGTGCATAATGACATTATTCCAGTATTTGGTGGGGTCTCGGCGTAACGACAGATAGCCTGTGTCGTGTGGTGTTGCTATACGATTGTTAGTTTGTGGGCGGTAAATCGGCATACTGCGCTCTCCTTTGTTTCGTGTTCTTTTTACTTTATCAGATTCTCGAATCTCAGTATGCATGGCTTTTATCTTGTTCTCCCGGAACTGCCAAACTTCTGCTGCTCAGATCCCGAAACCAATCCAAGCACTTCATTCAGTTCAAAGTTTATTCTCACGATAAGCTGTTGTAGTGGAATGTTGGATAATCTGTTCCACATAATTTCCTCTCAGTCGATATTGTAACTTGCACGGCCCCAAGGATTGCCACGAACAAAGGTCTCGCATCTGCGTATCAGTCGCATAGCCAAGTTTTAGTATCTTTCCGCTCTGGTATCACTAATGACTCTTCCTCTCTCCCTCCCACTCTCTCTCCCCAGCCCCTACTACACGCTGGCAGTCACGGGACCAGCCTGTGTCAGTGTCGGAAGGTGACGCCTCCCTCCCTCTCTCCCCAGCCTCTGCTACACGCAGGAGGCCACGGCACCAGCCTGGGTCAGTGTCGGAAGGCGGTCATCACCACGGCGCGCACCATTCCAATGCAGGTGGACGGCGAGGCGTGCCGGGTCAACCCGTCCATCATCACCGTCAGCCACCTGAACCGGGCGCGCATGATCTGCAAGCGGCGCGGAGAGAAGACCGTACTGACGTGAGTGTCACCGGCGCGCCGCGGGGCGGAGGGGGAGGGAAGGTGGAGACTAGGATAAGTAAGGTCGGGCGTGGGGTTTGGTTGGGTGCGGTGTTTTTAGCAGCGCGGAGATGTGATTTTATTTATGCGTATTTTGAATTGGCTAATGACAATGAGTAAGATTATTCAAAGAATAAGAAAGTCAGCGTTTCATAAAAGATAGTTTAAAAATGATTATGCTTTGACTGTTGGGGCATTCCACGTCAAATCAAACACCGAAATCCGTCATCCCCTTCGATTTTTCTGAAAATTTGTAGGCAGACTGGGCATGGTTCAAAACTGAGTTACGTATAATATTTTCGAAATTTGATAACGTATCGCTGAGATATAGGTCATCGAATATAGCGAAAAATGCCACACATCAATTTTTTAAATGGCTATAACTCTGGTTCCTTTTCTGGTATCAAAATGATATTAACAGGGTCTTATAGGCAATTGATAAGGCTTTGATTTTTGATTATAAAATTAAATTGAAGTGACCTTGAAATGCATTTGACCTTGAATTAAAACAGAAAAATTTAAATAGCAAAAAACACGTCACCTTCGATTTTGGTAATTTTTACATATTATGTCCGTCACAATGTTCCCAACCATCTGTGAAAAAATTGGAGTGGGCCATTCATAACTTTCGCGGCAAACGCCGTTTTCATGCATCAACATCACGCAACCGCGCGTGACCTTGAAAGACAGAGTCAAGACATGCTTGCTTGTGTACACTTTCTGAAATGAATGATTGCTGATTAGTGATATCCCAAACTCTGCGAGAATGGAAATGCATAGTCATCGTAGTCAAGCAGTCACGTTCCATAGTAAAAGTGTCTCAGGCAAACGGTATTTTGCGGTGAATTTTGAGCCGTGTGGAAATGCATCATGAAGTAAATTCAACGAAAACATTATCACGCAACGATATCTTCACGTCTTTTGATCTTCACTATCCGAAAGAACAGACGTTTTTTAGTATGTATGGGGAATTTCTAGTTAATCCAATAATAAATATGGCAGTTAGAGGCCTGCTAAGAGTAACATGTCGCCGGCTGAGGCGGGCTCGGCCGATGCGGGAAACGCAGCAATCACAATTTTGTGTTTACACGTTCATATTTCAATTGTTTACCAACCGATTTTCAAAAAATTTTCATCATAAGATTGCCTGTACATTTCTTAGTCTTCTCACAAAATTTGACGCGAATCGAACGTAATCAGCGGTAGGGAGCGCGATGTAAAGACGGAACCGTTCCGTTCCGTCCCGGCACAGTCTACAATTCAGGCGGCGCGTAGCGGTCGGCGCCTGCTGCCGAGTCGCCGCGTCGCTGCGGCGACAGGATGTTCACTTTACACCGCTATTACTAGAACAGTTGTGAACCGATTTTCTTATTGCTTGCACGATGAGATTTCCAATTCAATTCTTGACAGGTAGCCATAATTAATTTCGCATTAATCTTATGAGATATTGGCGAAAAACAGGAGGGGTGGGCGAAATTCGCTCTTCCCCCTCCACTGCGCGTGCCAACATACGTTTGCATATGTGCAATTTTCTTCAAAACTTATGAATGGCCCACTCTAATTTTTTCACAGGTTGTTAAGAATATGGTAGGCAATAAAATATATGAAAATGAGCCAAATCGAAGGTGACGTGTTTTTTGCTATTTCAATATTTGTGCTTAAGAACAGAGTTAAGCAATTTTCAAGGTCATATATTTAAGTAGGTGCAATTCTAAACAAATGCTTAAGAAATTACCTAAACAGTAAGGTTTATTTCATTCAAATCAAACAAGCACAACCAAAGTTATGGTCGTTCAAAAATATAAAGATCCAACATTTTGTAAAAATTTGATGCCCTATATTTAGAAGACCTGTGGTCAGAATGTGCAAAAAAAACATCAATGTAATGTCCGGGGCCACACAGGAACTCGCTCACAAATTTATACTGAAATCGCTGATGGTAAGGTGCAAAACAGCCGATTTTTGTTCGATTTGACGTGGAATGCCCCTGTTGTCCCTCCCGCACCAGCACATCTCCAGCACTGATAGGACGCCGAGTCACGAGTGGGCGGCTCGTCCGTCCGATCAGAGATCCCCAGCTTTGTTCAAATAGCACGTGGGCTGTGCGGTTTGACCGGACAGATCGGCTGCCGCGAATTAATTGGCTGGTGTGCTCTCTGAGTATCAGCTGTCCGCCCCAGACGGATAGTGACCTTTGACTGTCGAGATTGTCCCGAGATTTGTGATTGTCCGACGCCCTGCTCCGCGGCTGCTCGAAATCTCGGCTGAAAACTGGATCCGGCCGGGATAGCCGGCGGCGCTGTGGGCGTGTCGCAGACTCTCTCGACTACTTGCTAGTCATGTTTGCGCCGTCGGCGCTCGTCGGCCGCGACTACTTCACAATTCTGCGCTGCGGTCCAATCGACACGCCGACCAGTGAGATACAGTCCAGTCGGGGTGGTTCCCCTTTCAATAACCCGAAATGTCAGTGCAGTATTTTATCGTCGGTCTGTGGAGACGAGCGAGCGGGATGGACGGAGTCGCGGGATGGAGCGGCAAGCGGAGAGATTTGTACATTTTTTAGCTACACGATCGAGGTTTTTCTCCCTCGATTTAAAATTCAACGGCTTAGTTTTAAAAATGGATGTCGATCTCTGCTGTGAACTGGCAGTGCGTGTGAGGAAGTTTCCAATTGCATTCAAGGGTATGGAAATCTGAGACATGCGATCCCCTCGAATCGCCATCTTTTGAAATAAATCTATCCTATCAGCGATCATTCAGAGTATCATACCCGATTCGGAGAGTATCGGTCATCAGTTGCTCAGTCATCAGTCCCAGAGCTCCAGTGATTGATCCGAGATTATCAGGCTTTGACGGGCGGTGACCTGCCCGCCCGGTCACCGCTCTCGGGGGGGGGGGGGGGCGCCCGTCCCCGCAGCCACTGTCGGCCCAAGTTATCAGTCGAATCTGAGGTCAGAGTTGGACAGTTCGTCCAATGTCCGCCTCGGCCCAATGACAGCTCCGAGAACCCTCCGTGGATGGTGTGGTGAGAGAAGTGCTTCTTCTCTCTCCTTCCCGCCGCCGCCGCCACCAAGGAGCCTCCATCGGTCCGGATACGATACCTCTGTGGCCGACACGTGTCGAGTTAACGGCCGCTCCTCGCCGTCTGGCCTTCCTTCGAGCCGGAGTGCTGCTCTGTTATTAAGCAATGCTCACTGCAGCTCTCGGCCAGACCAATATTAGCAGGATGACCTCTCTGCTCCCCCGTATTGCCGCAATGAAACGGGAATGAGCCGGAAGCCAACGAGAGTTATACGAGGAAGCGAATGTCTGCTACGAGACCACCTGAACCTCACTGTGAAAAGGGGAAGGATGAAAATGCCGGTGCCGCTTGAAATGCGGGAAGTTGAGAAATCAGCGGAAATGGTATTCGTGAAACGATTTTTCCAATGTCGTGTTACTCAGACTCGGAAGTTGTTATGGGTTATTTCACGGGTAATAGCTGCTCCCTAGGTGCGTCACGACTTTTTCCTACTGGTTTCTTGATTTTTGTTTGGTTTATATCACGACTGTCTTCCCCGGTCCACTAAAACCAATGAGGGTGTCTCTTCGTCAGAGTTGACTGTTCATACGATTTTACCTGTTCTTTCCCCTTCGTTGCTGTGTTCGGTGAGGTCATTTCTCCCATCTATTTTTCGCCGTCTCCGTGCTCTTCTTTCCGGTCGGTATCCCCGACCCGATCCTGAGGCTAACAGAAACTTTGGCCGCATGGGAGTGGCAACTTAGCGGAGCTTTTCATCTGGATTGAAACCGAATTACTTCAGCGTAAGTGGACAGGCCACTGAGGACTGCGCCGAGCCGCAGACGGCAATCACAGAGACGGGTCGAGACGGCGGCTGATCAGCGTCCGAGACCTCTGTTTGTCCGTATGGTGGGACTGAGGTCGGCTGCTCTGGCGGTGGTTTCTGCGGCCCGGCTCTGCGGTCGGCCGCAGAGCTCGGAGCTGGTGCACGCCGCCCGCCGAGGTAATGCGGTTTCGATCCAGATGGAGTGCTCTTCTGAGCCGGCCGATCCCGCGGGACGGATGTCGTCTTCAGTTAGCCCGCTGCGCTGGTTTATTTCGGCCGGCCGGCGAGGGCCGCGCGCGTCCGGTCCGCTTTAGGAGGTTCCATTTTCTCGGCCGGCGTCCAGGGAAGATGGAGGAAGCGGCGCCGATGGAGGTCGTCCTCTGATCGAGCCGATCCGCGCGCACCTGCCGCGTCTGCCCGCCGCCGGACTGAGAAATCGTGCTGATCTTGAGCCACCGTATATGGCCCGAGGCTAGCCGGGAGTCGGCCGGCCGGGGTTCAGAGCAGTGCAGCTGTGATGGGATTCAGCGCAGAGAGCCGGGCAGCCGGCACGGCGTCTGGACTCTGGCGGCCGCCGGAGCGCTCAATAGGTGGCGACGGGCGCGCCGCCCACGTGCCGACGTGATTGTGCCCTAATCGGACGGCATGACGGCACCACTGATGTATCGGCGGTGCGCAGATGGGCCGCCGCGGTCGGACAGACGCCCTGACCCGATCCCCGCACCCAGAGACCTCGTGACCGATGGGGTGACGGTGCCTGATAAAACTGGCTAAAACTGGACCATCTGCAGGATGTTTTGTAACAAAAGGTCGAGATGTTTGCTTTTCGAGATGTTGGATGTCTTAGTTCTATTCTACTGCCCAGTGGGTGGGAGTTTCCTGGAAGGCTGCTGGTTTTGAATGGAGCACGACTAAGCCCGCTGCTTAATCTATTCTCCTTTCACTGAGACAATGCCCATGGCAATGTGATTGGTTTCATTTGGTCTTTAAATAACTTGGCTAAGCGTCGTCTGGAGACCAAAATGGAGCTGCTGTGTCTTTGAAGTCCAGCGTATTCCTCCACTCCAGTATGCCTTGAGCAATCACCTCGGTGGCTTAACTTCGGCTCGTCTTCCTTGAAGTTCCCACAGGGACGCCCCCGTCCCCGATCCGAAACTTGGCTAAGTACTTCATGCCACGTTTTAATTGCTGAGCTTCGTCCCGTCAAAGTGGAAGGAGAGAAATTACCATAGTCAGGATGATTATTCTCGTTAAGACCCTGTCGGGAACTGTCCTGACCTATATCAAACCCACCGTATCAGAATTTAGGCTGCGGTCTTAGGAGACTCACTGCGTTAGTGGTTTTATGACGCGAAGGTTTTTATGTGCATGTTTTGTGACAGCACAAAGTGCTCAGAATACTCAAGTGTGTGGCTTCGCTGGAAACTGAAAATGCTCTGTTACTGAGAAGCCTTTTTCAACAGACGGTGTGTCCCGAGTAAAAAATGTTTTGTGATAACAACACACTCAACTCACTCTGACAACAGGCGTGGACCATAAAAATAGCTAGGCATCTGTGACATCTAATGTCTTTATGACTCCCTCTTTAGAGAGAGCGCTCGTCTGACCTCCTGATTCCTCGTGTTCCAGGGACACCCCTCAGGAGCAGCTGAGGATACGCATCAACCGGATCACCATGTCCGACTACGAGCAGTACCACTACGACAAGGAGACCCTGATGCAGCACTGTAAGAAAACTCTCCACAATCGGACGCGAAATTTGTGAAACAGTTCGGTAGATAGCCGCCGTTTACGGACGCGGGTTTCCACGCCGGGCGCTGCGGCACAGTATAACTTCCAGGCGCTTACCACTAGCGACATCTATGAACATTAGTAACAGCTCCCTGCCGCACTTAGTTCGGCGGCACAGTATACCTTTAAGGCGCTCACTACTGGCGACATCTATGACCAGTAGTATAAGCTCCCTTCCGTATCGGGCGCTGCGGCACAGTATACCGTCCAGGCGCTGACACTAGCGACATCTATGAACAGGAGTATAAGCTCCGGTGCTCGCACCAGTTATCTCGGCCGCCTATGTCGGCTAGCGAGTGTTCCTATTCTTTGCCATTATGGCTTGCTTCTGATATTTTGGGGGGTTACACTTATTGATGTTTCTTTGACATTTGGTCATTTATCTCGGTAACAGCGACAGATTGCGGCTGCTAGTAGTGTGCGGGATTAACGACTCTATCCGCTCTTTCAGCGATGCCTCTGGGTGTGATTTTTAGTGGACCATGACTGTTGAGTGACTATGTTTTCCGCTCTTTCAGCGATGCCTCTGGGTGTGATTCTGGTGGACCACGACTCTGACCTGGAGCAGGTGCGGCGGCACATCAACCGGATGCAGGAGGAGAACCAGCACACGACACCGCTCAGCCCCGAGTGGTGTTTCGTCGACTGTAAGTCCGCATCGGAGACGACGGGTCACCTTGGAGTTCCTGAGGGGACCGATCAGTTGTATATCTAGCTAATTCATTAGCCCCTGAAACATATTTATTAGCTACGTGGATTCCCTATCTATTTACTTTGGTTCAGATTCAGTACGTCCTAATCCGGTTAAGTTTACCTCATGGTTTATTTGGTTTGATATGGCTCTAATTGCACTGAAAGCGCCTTCTATCTGCTCGTCCGAAGGGCAAAGCAGTGGAAAAAAAAACGAATGTCCTAAGCCCCAGCTGTGTGTTTTAGTGAGTTGCCTGATTAAGTCTGGCCTGGCCTGACCCGACATCTTGTTTTCGTCCATCAGCCTGCACGGCGGAGCGTTTCTTCCGGATCGATCGCGCTCAGGAGCACCTGCACTTTGTAACCGACATTAGCTCTGAGGACGTGTACGTCCTCGACCCGATGGCGGTCACCTCGCAGGTCTCGGCCACGGCCAACAACAAGTGAGTACACGTGAGCCCCGCGGGGCACGGCGGGCTGGGAATAGGTACTGAGCGGAGAACAATTGGAAATCGCGGCCGAAATGTGACGGCATTTAGAAAATGGTGACTTCATAAGGGCATGCTCTTTAAATTCGGGTGGCTTCGTGGCGAAATCGTCGGATGTGATAGGTCGCGATTTATGAAACAGCCGGCTGTCTGGCGCCCACTGCGGTGACCCCGGGCCCCGTGGGGAGTGGTGGCGCCGGCTGATGCACTGCTGCTGCCTAGGGACGAGTCTGGGCAGTCGGACCTGGACGCCGGTCCGGCAGAGGGCAGGTCGAGCGCCCGGGCCGGTAGCTCCGCCAGCCGGCGCCACAGCACCCCGTCCGTGGGCAGCTGCGCCTCCATAGCCACCCAGTCGAGCCGGCTGGGCCGCCGCAGCTGCACCAGCCTCGTCTCCGGACACGTCGACATCAGCTCGTGCGTGACGTTACCCGCCGTGACGTCATAGTGACGTGACGTGACGGGCTGGTCGTCCGTTTGGTGGCTAGTTGTCCGTCTTGGTAGCTCTAATTTCGCTGCACAATGCACGTAGGCTGTGAAGCTTGAATGCACCTAATGTTGTTTTGAAGCATCTTAGGCCAGATTTTTGGAGAGACGTTTTTTTGTACTTAAGCTACGAGTCTTCCATTGCATAGTTTGTTAACCGTATATAGTCGGGCTCTTATCACGTCACATTGTCCAGATGCAGCTTCTGCTTAGTACCTAATGGGTTCGTTAACGTTATCGTCTTTTTCTGGACATCAATTGTAGCAGAGCATCCGTCGTGGCGTAGCAATTAGGCATAGCTGGAAGAGCCTCATAGCTGGTGAAGCCATCGTCGTTTCTATTCGTATAGCTCCACTGATCGGTCGTCTGAGTCGCTGTGTTTTTCACTAGCAGTAGCCGAACTTTGGCCACCACTAGTCTGCAGTGCACAATGTTTTAAGAATTTTATTCACACTGTTTTCCAAATAGTTCCGTACCTGTCTTCAGTTTGGTTCTGCAGTTACCTCTTCCAAGCGACAGACCTTTTGCATTGCTAACGATGCTTAATTAACATTTTATCGAGTACTTCTACTTCAGAGTTTCATACCTCAGGTTCGAATGTCGACGGCTTGTTTGAAAATAATGGCATCTTTTTAACCAATGTTAATGTTTCTCAGGCTTTGTTATATTGCCTTGATGATATTTCTCTTCTCCTACCTTTGTCGCGTAGTACGTTTCTACGCCGCGGCTATTTCTGTCTCTCTCCCACCGTCGTTCGCTCGTGTCCCCGGCTCCTGGCGCCTCTAATGGCCTCCACTGACCGTGTTATTCTGTCGGTGTGGGCCCGTTTCAGGCTCAAGGAGCGCCTGTTTGGCGCCGGGGCCAGTCCCACCAGGTGAGCCCAGCTCAGCCCCCCCCCCCCCCCACCCCACCCCTCCGACCAACATCCGGGACGCATGTATAAATCTCCAATCGGCCGCGCGCGTCCGGGCCGACCGTACCAATTAGTCGGGAGGCGGCGGGCCGGGCCGGACGGCCGCGCCGCGCCGCAGGCGGCTCGGCGACCTGCAGGCATTAGTGCGGAATGGATGGCAGCTCGGGGCGGTCAGCGGGCTCCGCGGCCGGGTCAGGGCGTCCACCGGGCTCCGCGGCCGGGTCAGGGCGTCCATCGGGCTCTGCCGGCCGGGTCAGAGGCTCGGCCGGCTCCGGCGGGGGCCGCAGTCAGCCGGAGAGGCCGACTGATTGGACGGTGATAGGCTGCGTCTGGGCTGAGGCGGAAGCGTAGCAGGGTGGATGGGTGGTGCTTGACGGTGTGATAGGTCGGTGTCGTTATTTTCGTCTCTTTTGTAGACTACGATATTTTGGAATCATTAGGCCATCGTGAGCCGACGCGTTATGGCTTCCGCTGCTTAACCGTTTGCCTTTTGATGTTTTGTGTCATTTTTGGTAACCTAGGTCGTGGCTGTAATAACTACTCACTGGTCATCAGAATAAATACGAGCTGTTTTTTTTTTTCATGACGGTTTTGTTTAATCCGACTGGCTTTTGTGTTTCCTTCCTTCCGCATTTCCAAAGGTGTTCATGACAGAAACCACTGCCAGAGTACCTACTCAAACGCCTCATTTCTTGTTCTGGTAAAGCTATTATTCACTCGACCTATTGCACCAGATCAGACCATCTGCTCTGACCTCTCCTTCCGGTCCCCTCCTCCTCTAATGTGGAACTCCGGTGGTACGACCACTTCCTCCCGGTCCAATTAAGCCGCTGTCCATACCGTGATTGCCGGCCGGTCAGCCCTAATTAGCCGCCCTGCGTGCGGACCGGTGTGTAGGCTCGTGCGCGGCTCGTCTGACCGGAGCTCGGTCTGTTTCAGCCACCTGCTGGAGCGGTCGTCGGAGGAGATTCTGCACGCCGCGCAGAGCGGTGACCTGCCCAGAGTGAGTGGGCCGGGAGGGAGAGGGGGCCGCCCAGGTTGAGTGGGCCAGGAGGGAGAGGGGGCCGCTCAGGGTGAGTGGGTCGGGAGGGAGATGGAGAGGGGGAGAGGTGGGGAGAGTGAGGACGGAATTGGACGGCAGTCGAATGAGCCGGCTAGAGTCAGGAGAGCGGACGTGAAACCGGGGCCTACTTGGCAGAGGTGTATGTTAGGATAAGCTCGGTTTAGTGTTGGTTCGAAACTCTCCTGGCCATCTCATTTTAAGAGCTGATAACCTCATCGCCACATGTATTGATATCACGAAATGCTGGCCGTGGCCGGTCACCCACTCGCCATTCTTTGGCCAGTTTTGTGGCTGGTATATAAGGTATATAAATGGTATACAAGTCGTTGGATCGTTTGTCGCTGCGGCCGACCGTCGGCTCCTGTCGGATGATCGTTATGTTTCGGGCCGGCTCCCAGCCCTCATGGCGCGGCTCCAGCCGCTGAAATACGCCCGCCTCCTGAATCATACGGGATCGCCACCTCTTCTCTACATTTCAAAACTGCTGAATTGAATGGCCGCGGCGCGTCAGAGCGGCCTCATCGGCCGTGAAATAGGTCCGCTGGATGTGGCCGCCGCGATCTAAACGGCGGCCGACCCAGTGCCCGGTATTGAAACGGGCAGATGGAGTATTGTATTTATAGGCCAGGTGGAGATAACGTAAACCATCGGGAAATGATCTGTCGGACCGTGCAGCTATTGGCAGCTGCAGGCGAGTGCAGTGCGCGACTTATGAGGGATACATATTAGAGCTGAGATCGGTTAATTTACTGACATTATTGCCCGTAGTTTTGCGTGATGATGTTTGAATTCGTAGGTAAGGCTAATGCTGTAACTTGTTTCATTTCATTTAGACATTGGGATGAGTAATTTCCCTTGTGAGACCTACCTTGCTCTGTGCGTTCCGTCGTGTAATGTGGATGAACTGGTGTTGAGTTTTCTATTACGCCCTCCTGAGACAATGGAGCTCATTTTCACCATCTCCCTTGGTGTCCCTGTCTCTTTTATATTTCCATAACTCTTCATTTGTACCTGCGCTCTCGGTGTTACGAGTGTTGCTGGTTCTCTTTAATCTTTATTTCCACGTGCGTCTGACCACTCAGGGTGCCTTGTCTCCTGTAGCTGCCACTTTCTTGCTCTCCCCCTGTCTCCCTCCCTCTCTATCCCTCCCTCCAAATGACCTTAGTAGTTGGCGCGCCCTAAAGCCCTAATTAGCAACAAAATACCCCTCCCTCCCCTGCCCCTCTCATAATCTCTCCGTCCCACAGGTGAAGGAGCTGCACACCTCTGGCGTATCGCTGTTCTCCGTCAGCGCCATGGGTCAGACGGCCCTGCACCTGGCCTGCTCGGCCGGTCACAAGGATGTGGTCCGCTACCTGCTGGCCAATGCGCCCGCATCGGCCGTCAACATGCGCGACAACGACAAGTGAGATTGGGAGAGGGGTGGAGGGGAGGGCAGGCAGCTTTGGATGGAGGGAGGATGACGTGATGAGAGTGGGGAAAAGTAGACGATCGATCGTTCGTATGTGTGTTTAGCGTCCATCGCTTTTGATTCTGTGAATAAATGTGTGAGTAAGCTCAGGATTATAGTTACGCAGTGCCAGATGACCGCATCTCTCCTGTGTAGAACTGTGTCAGATACTGGGCTTTTGGCGCTTGTATCTACCCCTATCTCGCCTCATAAGTATGACCTTACCTGTACCTAAACCTTCATCTCCCATGTCCCCAGGCGACGTATGGCACCTGTAGAATGTATCTAACCCTCCCCCTGTGCGCCCTACAACAGCTGCAGGCTGTATCTAACTCCTCCCCTCCCGTGTTCCCTCAGGGGCCACACGGCGCTGCACTGCGCCGCTCTGCACGGCCGGCGGACCATCTGCTCGATGCTGGTGGCCTCCGGAGCGCTGCTCACACTGGCAGACAGTGACGGCAACACGGCCCGCCAGCTGGCCCTTCAGGCCGACGACAAGGATCTCGCAGACTACCTGGAAAGTGAGTCGAAACGGCGAACGGCTGTGATGGTGTGGTCTTTAGGTGTAGCTGTGCTTGTGGCGCCCTCTTACTGACCATGTAGGTGGCAGTCTCGTCGCCAATGAGCCCGAAACCTGAAATTTTATGTAGTCTGTCCTCCTGGCTCCTATCGTGTTTGCTACCCAACAATGCTGATGTGTGTCTTGTCACAACCCTCACATGCATATTACATATCAAGTGGTCAACAACATTTGTGTTGAGGGTTAACACGCATCAGCGGATTCCGTTTTCTGAGGTCGTCTTCGAGCGCAGTCTTACGCGACACTTGTAGCGTGTCGAATTTGTGTCAAATTTATCTGTGCCATTACTCACTGTTTTCCACTATCGTGTTTCAGGTCAGGAGCATTTTCAGCTGGTCGTGTCGGACGACCACGAGACGGCTGTGTGACGTCACCCGGCGGCTGCTGACGTCAGCGGCGGCCGTGTGACGTCAGACGGCGGCACGAGTGTGACGTCAGACGGCCGATCGGCTCTGTAGCTGTGCAATACGGAGTCAGAGGGGGCCGAGGGAGGCCGGTGTGTGTGTGCGAGGGGTGCCGGACGGGTGCCCGTCACTGTACAGTCTGTACTCACCAACAAGGAAATTTGTATTTTTAGAGGGAGAACGTGCCGCCGCTTCCTACTTTTTACATGTTTTCCTGGTCTGTTGTTGGCACGTTCCGGTATATATTCGTTGGAAGATGGTCGTGGGGGTGACATTCAGTAAACCCTGCCTTTCAGAAAATGCCTTCATCTTTGTACCCGTATGTGTGCCCCCCTTGATCGAACTTTACGCAGTCACCCCCTCCCCCGTTAGACGCGCGGCCTGAGCGCGATGTCACGTGATAGCCTGTGCGCACCCCCCCCCCCCCCCCTCCCCAGAGTGACCGGTGGGTTGGTGCTCTGAGTATATAGGGGGACCTGCCGTTAGGGCAGGCCGACCCCACCGCAGTCCAGTCAGGGCGGTGCGGTGGCGACCTCTGGCCTCTGGGCAGTTGCGCGAGCTCTAGATTCGTGTGAGATGTGAGAGATTACTGAGTGCTCGCAGAATGGCTTCAATACTCGAGTCTATCATTGTATATTCCAGTGATCTGCTTGTGTCGTGTTGAGCGTGTGATGGTCTCATTATTCAATCGGCTGATACCGGAGGCGTGAGTAGTTACATCGTTCGTTGAATATTCGCATTAGCTCTCGCTCTGTCCCAGTGCACCGTTCCCAGTGGACAGCGGGTCACAGCGGCGGCGGCCGACTCTGTGCGGCGCGCGCGGCCCCCTCCCTGCCCGCCAGCGCTCCCCGATTTCAGATGCAATACCGACCACTGAGGTCCCCGCACCGTTCACTCGTAGCTGGCGAGAAGGTAATTTCTCGCCGTTGGTGTTGCGTGTCGTGGCCCTCCCAGTCTGGGGAGACGTTTGGTTTCAGCTTTAAACAGTAGTGAGTGGGCGCCGCCAGGAGCCAGCCTCCTGCGGCGGCGTGCGTGAGAGCGAGAGAGCGAGGCAGAGGTGCCGGCACGGGTCAGCGGCGGCCGGCGCCGGCCCCAGAACACACACCCAGTCTGTCTGCGAACGGTGACAATTGTATAAACATTTATGATCGTGCCCATTGAACGTGAGCCCCATTCCGTGGATGTAGTCGGTAACTTATCACACAGGCCAATCAGCGCCCCGGTATACCGATATATTGCCCGCTCCCGGCGAGAGAACAATAAACCTATCGTTATTTTGGTGACTTGTTTTTGTCTGGGCTGAGGAGAGTGGCGTCTGGGTTTGTATGTCGAAACCGGGACCTTTGAAATCAGAAATGCGTCAGCGAATCAGCCTTCCACTGCACTGGTACTACCCACTATAGCTACGACCGATCATGTAGCAAAACACTGAGCGACTACAAGAATAGTTATGTAGCTATGCAAGGCGAAGTCGGAGAAGCGTTTGATGTGCCGACCTAGCCCAATGCACCCATTTGGTCTACGTAGTCGGATGAACGGGAATCGGCCACTCAAAGACAGACTGATCCGAGGACTCGCATCAAAGCGTCACATTTTTAGAAAAGGTCACATATAGATATCCAACGACGGTGTTACGCTATTCGATTTAAAGTGCTTTCACTAACAGCTCACATAGTAACTACAGCACTGGGACGATGGAGGGTGATATGAATATAAAAACGAAATACCAGCAGATCGTTGAAAACTGAATATGTAGATACAGTCACAGAACCGGTTCGCTGAGCCGCAGTGCTTGCGTGGAATCCATCGCGTTTGTGGAGTGAGTGAGTACCTAGGTAGATAATTGTGGCGAAAGGGCTCATTGCAGCTAAATGGACACAACCCAGTCACATTTGCAATAAAATAATATTAATTTTCTTCATCCATCTGAATCTCACAGTCATAGCCAGCTGAACCGGTCTTGCTTTGAACGGGACGTTCAAAGCAAGACCGGTTCAGAGTTCAGACTTCAAAGGCGATTTATTGCCTCGGCCTATTGTGATTAGAGCCTCAAAAGTCAGACTAACCAAGACAGTTGTGTTTGTTTTATTTTGTTGGGTTAGGCCCTTTCGGTCTGACAAGACCATTTCAGAGCCGGAAGGATGATAGGAATTAGGGGGAGACATTGGTCTGGGCAGACACCCTAGAGAGTCGCCGGGGCTGAGCCCGTTCGAATGGACAGGCCGACCAGCCCCCCCCCCCCCTATAAGCACTCTCTGCACCCGGCTACGGGGTGCGCTCCCTCGGGAGTAGCGGTGCCGCTCCAAGGGAGCAGCCCGCATGAGATAACGGTGCCTGTCGTCCAGCCCGCAGTGGGGGTTGCGGCGTGGAGGACAAGGATTTCAGTATCCTGACTCCTTATGGAAGCGACAGAGCGGAGGAACCAAGGCACTCACCCCACACTTTATAAAGCCTTGCCTCAGACCAATCACTGATCCAAGTGACATCAACTGACGCCATATTACCTACCTACATGATGACTGACACGTTACATGAAGCTGCAGAAATTTTTAACTGCTGTTTATCTTGAGCTTGGTTCGCATCAAAGTACACGTTCGCAATGTAAGATGAGATTAGCTGGGTACAGTACAGTAGGTCTACAAAATAAGTCCCCGCCGTATGCGGGTCACCAGTGGGCAGTTAGCGCCTGAGCGCTCATAGGCGTCGCCAGAGGTTTTCGGTTGGGGGGGCAAAATCAACTTTAGTGTGTTAAATCTTGCCTTTCTCCAGTCGTTACTCATTCATTTTGCATATCATTCGACGCGTAATGGTGCGAGGAATACGATGGTGACAAGGTTTTCTTTCTAGCTATGACATGTCATTTTTTTACAGAAAATTAAAAATTTTGAAATTTTTGGACAAAAACACGACCGGTAGAATCACAATGGCTGCGATTGCCGACGTACTCTAGTGCCCCCGTTCAGACGCTCGTCGCTCATGATCATCACCCAGAAAAAAGGTTAAAAACGCTCAGTAATCGAATCACCTTACTGAAACCTTCATTCACGCATGCATGCAGTCGCAGAGGTTCCACGTGAAATGCATAGGGCTCATCCCAGCCGCCGATGGCTAAGTTGGGCTTTCGGCGGAGATTGAATGTCGGAAGTGTGGATCGGAAGTACCTAATTCATCTTTGCTTCAGTGAGAGGAGGTATTTTGTTCACACGGGAGTGTGAACAAAAAGTTTCTCGTTTTTCGTATGTAGGGAAGCGCTGCAAATGCGAAGAAAAGATAACGGAACCAAAATTTCGCACGGCATAGCGGCAAGGGATCCCTTAGCGACAGGCTTGGGACTTCCAGGCCATTTTAGGCCACTCAGGGTCAGTGTGGGCTCTCAGAAGCCTGCTTAGGATCCTGAAGATCGGCGTTGGTCACCCCAAATAGTTACGTGTACCTATGTGGTGCTTTAGGGCTTTCCGAGCCCAAGGTGGGGCCCTCAGAAGCCAGTGTGGGCGGCGGGCGCTAAGAGACCAGGCCCAGGGTGAGCCGGGAGCCCTCAGATAGCAGTGTGAACCCTGGAGGTTTGTGTCGAATCCCCAAGGACCCTACATAGGGACATAAACATGTGCTGGGACCCTCAGAGGCACACGTGAGTTCAGGGGCCCGGGAACGATTTTCAAGTTGGGGGGGGGGGGGGGCGAGCCTAAAATACCTGACATGATACATATGAAACAGTGGCGTAGCTAGGGGTCTAAGGGGACACGTACCCCCCCCCCCCCCACCCCCACCCCCGTTGGGTTCAAAGGGACCCTCGGGTCCGAGAGGCCCTGCGGCGCCATTTGGCCGCTGAGGGTTAACGATGGCCATATTTCTACTCAGAAGGGCCCCATGGGGCTTGTTAGAGCACCTCATGGGTCCTAAATAGCCACACTAAGATCTCCATAAGGTCCCCACGCCGGCTGCTGAGGGCCTCTTGCGGCGCCTCGGTGGTCTCCAAAGGCCCGTTATTGGCCTCTGAGAGTTCTTACCGGCCTATGAGGAGCCAGTTCTAGGAGCATTTCCTGCCTGTGATGGTCCCACACTTATTTTTCTGAGGGCCCCATAACGGCAAATGTGGGGCCCTCATCGGCGCCTATGAGGGCCCACACCAGTGCCTCTGAGGGTTTCACACCCTCAACTCTGAGTGCCCACACCAGTGCCTATTAAAGCCCTATATCGGCGGCTGTGACGACCCAACCAACACCTGCGCGTCTAAAGGCCACCCACTGGTGACTTTTGAGGGCCCCACACCGGCAACTCTGAGGGCCCCACCGGCGTCTGACAGTACCATGCCGGTCTCTAAGGACCCCACAGGACTTTTTCTGCCGGCCTAAGGACCCCTTGCCGGTCACTGAGACCCCCTGCCGGCTTGTAGAGAGTTCGCGTTAGCAGCTCTAAAGGCCCCTCACCCGTCTGTAACGGCTCCACCAGCGTCTATGAGGGCCCACAGCTACGCCTGTAAGGACCCTCATCGGCGCCTCTGAAAGAATCACACTAGCACCTCTGAGCGCCTACACCGGCACCTGCATGACGGCCCCACACCGGTGCCTCAAAGGCCCCTTACCGGCGGCTCTGAGGGCCCTACGCCGGTGACTCTGAGGGTGCTACCGATAACCGAAGGCACCACACAAGCCCTTAGTGTCGCTGAGCTTTCATCCCATACACGCCCTCCGAGGGCACCACGTCAGTGCACTCATTGCCCCACACCCCTCCCTCACACCCGGAGAGGGTTAACTGTGTTATACCTACCTATAGCAACGATTTTACCACCGTTGTGCATTATGTATTTCTCAAAGTTGACTCAAAATGGTCCAGTATAAAATCTGGCCTGCCAAACTTATGGCCAAAATCAGGTCAAAGCGGGATGATCAATAGCGGGATGACAATAGCAGATGTTGTCAAATCGATACTGTATCAGCAGAAACCAATAACCATACAGATGGCAAGGAAAATGCCGTGTGTTGATGTTTAGATGTGTAAAGAAAACAAGAAGGAAAGAAGTCCGGAAAAGGGAGGCAAAGATCTTTTCTCGCTGCCTCAGTGTTGAGGGGGCGCCGCCCCCTCGGCTCCCAAGTTGGGGGGGGGGGGCAAGCGCCCCCGCTGCCCCCCCTGTTCCCGGGTCTATGCGTGAGTTGTGCAAAATCTGTCGCCTCAAAGCTCGGCTGACCTATCAGAAGCCTAAGGTTTTCAGAAATTTTCGAAAGTATTCTCAAAGATCCGTGTGGCCCTTCAGAGGTCTATGCATGTGTAAGGTCCTCAAAGATCCCTGTATGGGCCCTCAGAGAATATGGACACCAGTTGGACTCTCAGAGGCCGGTTTGGGCCTTCTGAAGGCTTCTTAGAGCTCAGTGGAGCTCCTTCGGAGCCTGTGTGAAAAGCAAGCTCATGAGCCCTGTGGCACTTGAACGGCTCGAGTCTATCGCAGACATTTGACGAGAGTTAAGAAGGCCCGAAGATTTAGTGTCACCCTTTGAACGGAAATTTTGTGTCAGCACTTCAAAACTTATGAAAATCGGCTACAAAATGTACTAGGGTACTATTAGGGTTGTACTAGGGTTGACTATTAAGTAATGGAAGTGCCTTAAGCAATTAAACGTTTTTGCACGTGCACATGTTTTCTTGGTGTCATTTCATGCGCCGATGTTTTTTCTATCCAATGGTGAAGACCACATGTCCTTAACTACTTCTTGCTCCAAGCTATCATCGTTTTCCCAAGAGACCACGCGAACCTGCGGCGCACCATGAAAAAGGAGTCTGGCAATGGCCAAAATCGCGCGCCAAGCGCCAGCGCGAGGTCATCAGAGCTTATTAGCTTATTGTTATGGCTACACAATGGACAATTTCTATATTTTCATCAAAACAATACACATTGGCACGATAAATGACAGCACACACTACTCCACATAATCGCCTTCAAGCATCACACACCATTCCAGCCTCGTCTTGACCCACTCCTGGAACGCCGCCATAGGACTGATCGGCGCTTTCTTTCTCAAACCGATGAAACCAGCGACATATCGTCTGTGGGGAGGCTGCGTCGCTCCATACACTTAGAAAAGAAATTTTCTGATATTGGTAGGCCTTTTCCCTACGACAAACTGAGCTCTAATGACCTTGCACTCGGCGCTGGCGCGCGGCTTTGGCCATTGCCAGGTGGTGCGCCACAGGTTCGGGAGGTCTCTTGGGAAAACGACGATAGCTTATAGCAAAAAGTAGCTAGGGACAAGTGGTCTTCACCATTGGATAGAAAAAAGATCGGC